TATTTATAAAAAGTCTCATTTCACTTTTTAGTCTCAATCTGATAACAAGATTTTTGTAGAATATTTGTTATTTTACGATTCATAAACTTTTAATTTATAATTGAAAGTTTTGAAGCAATGATTAGATCATAATATAATAAAAAAGAAAACGAAATATTTGATGAAATGACGATAATGTTTTCACTAAAGGCCTGTTTGTGTGCATTTTGACAGTGAGACGACAAGTTTGCGCCAATATGTTGTTTCCCTTTAAGTCAATGTCCAAAAATGACAGAAGAGTTTGTCGGCAGAAATGTAAGTAATTTGGTGTTCATTGGATGTGTAGTAGTCGTATGGAGTCATCCTTTTCATTGTGTTTTCATGTTTTCGAGTGTCACTTACTTTTTATGAGATTACCAGTGAAAACAACTTTTTGTTTAAATATTTCATTCATTCAATTCTCGGAATATTCTATTAGTTATTGTTTAAAAAATCCCATAGGAATTACGCTATAGGTTTTGCTTTGTTTTGAATAATGAGATTCTAATTATTCTCGGAAATACACTTTAAAAACATCGAAATAATAAATTAAAATATCGATTAATTTCATATTTAATTCAAATCTTACTTTAAGCGTTATAATAATAATAATGGGTATTTGCTTATTTAGACACCAATTTCAAATGACACGCTTTGATGTGGTGTTATATTGAGGGAGAGGGGGAATGACTGCACTATTATCAGGCACTTTCTATTGCTTTGTATGTATAGGTAGGGGTGGGTGGGGTGGATGGGGTGACTCCGTCAGGTTAGTTCAGATCTACATTTAGTATTCACACACACAGTGAGTCTGATTTCCATACATGTGTACCCTTGACACATGTCAGGACGTCTGTCACCTTTCATAATCCATTATTATTATTGGTGTGAAGTTTCAGTTATTACTATAAAACTGTTAATGCATGTAACATATTCATAATTTTTTATATTACACTGTTTTAATAGTTATTTTAAATAACTTATTTATAAAGTTAGATAATCAATACTTACTTTGCTTTACAGTACACATCATTTCTTATAAATGAATATACTGTGTATAATCCAAGTTGCATAATATTACTAAATTCTCAAGTAATATTATACATGGTAATAATTCCACAGTAACAAAAGGATTTCATTTCTTTAAGAGTACTCATGAAGTGTTGATTATTATTGCTAGTGAGCTAGATAAAGTACAGTATATTAGTCGGATTGACTTAAACTGAAAAATATATTTTTTTAAAATTATGAGTAATTCTAAAATAAATATAATTTATAATCCCTTTCCAGTTGTAGGAAATTTATCCTAATCATAACAGTAATAATATTTTTATCATTTATATCAACAAGAAGTTGAATATTATTAATAAACTTTTGTATTCAATCTATAAAAATATTATGGTTATTATTTTAATTAAAACTAATGAGCATTTAAAAAATAAGCATCAACAACTAAATTCCTAATTAGAATTCTATGTTTTAAAGTTAAGATTTATAATTGACATTTCACAAATACACCGGAAGTTTAATTTTCCAAAAATATTATAAATGTTTAAAATTTTAGAAATAATATTTTATTTCAATACATTTCATTGAATAAATGTCAATTTTACTATTATACATAACAGGGAAAGTAATGATATGGTTTGAAATTATATATGTACAATATTATTTCAATATTCATATTTAAAAAACAAATATTAATACGCAATCATTATAATATAATTGATCTTGACATTCATTTAAACATAAATTTCAACAAATGTCAATATGTTTTGACTCATAACTTATGAGGTTTTCTTTATACAATCAAAATTGAGAATTAAACTTTTTTGATTTTGTTTTCAAAAAAGTTATGTTTTCAAATTATAGTATTATATTATGATAGAGTATTATAATACTAAAAAGTCTTATACAATTTTTCATATAAAATAATGTTTTGTATTATTTGTTTTAATGAAATGTTATTTCATTTTAAATTTTCTGTATTAAGCTCTTGTAAGCTTATATTTTTTGTTTTCTGTTTTGCCTTTAGTTTAATCTCAAACAATTTGATCATAAGATGTAAACATTGATAATTTGTTTTTAATTTCCTTTTATCTTTTTATTATTATTATTATTTTGTTTTTTAGTTCAAATTTGTGAGTTTATGAGAATGTGTGAGTGAGTGAGTGAGTGAGTGAGTGAGTGAGTGAGTGAGTGAGTGATAGAGAGAGAGAGAGAGAGAGGAAGAAATTGAAGAATCAAAGAATGTGAAGATGTTGTTACTTGAAAATAAGATATAATACTATGATTTTGTGTAAGGAATTAAATGTTGTTTACTTATAAAAGACTGCTATAATTGTGGAATTCTTGTTAAATAGTACATAATATCTGAGAAACAGGAAATGAGTGACAACTATTTGTGTGTGTATTAGATATATTGATCTGTTTTGTGAATTAAAATGAATGCTTCATTTTATTAAATCATTCGTTGTTAACATATTTTTCAATTTTATATAAGAATTGATGAGAAAATTAAAGTTTAAGAATCTGTTGGCAATAACATTCTATATGGTGATATATAGTACTTATTTTCATAGTTATAAGTGTTTATTTCTTATGAAAGTTGCACTCAATTTTAGTCAGAAATGGCAATAAAATGATTTCTCAAATGACTTGCCCTTACCTTTAAGTTTATACACTTTAAGTATATCATTTATATAAATTTATATATAAAGTCCAGATTTCTCGCAACTTATATAAGAGCACTTTTAATTTGATTAAATATGTGCCCACACTAGAAAACTATGTGATATACTCGGAAAAATGTACAAAAATAATCCTGAAAATCACTTCTGGATAAACTCATTAATTTTAAGTATTTATTTATTTATACTAAAAAAGGTGATCAAGTAACTACATTTTTATGATTTAGGGGTTACTCTAATTGACACTTTATATAACATATGAGAACTAATATTAACCATAGAATAACTATAGAATCTATAGTTTATACATTAGGAACTTATTTAGATCTAGAATTTCAAAATTTTGATTCAATTATAAACACTTATAAAATTCTCTTTTATAATAGTTGCACAAATATTTTATAATACTGTACAGGTAACTTTAGGGATAAGCCTTTAAACAAGTTACAATATAAAATAATGAGAAAATGTTAATAAATGTGTCAATTTGTTGATTGTAATGAATTTGTGCAAACATTTGAAACGATGAAATAAGTTATGAAACATTTGTGTGAATAGCGGGTGAAACGGAGCGAAAGCGAAATATCCAGCAACTGGTGGGCATATGCTGTCAGGAGGCCTGTTCCCTACAGACACTCACCAAATACTGTAGACCCGGGTCAGTCTCCTCGCCGGGCACCTGGCCCTCGAGCGAAGGCGTTCCCAACACAATGCTCGTGGACGACAGGGACGACATATTTAAGCTGCGACTCCCTCTATTCAGGCCACCAGAAAACGTGGGACAGTATGTCAAGAAGTAAAGGCCTCATAATTGCACCGTTTGTTTAATAATGAAAGTAATTAAAAAAAACTAATACAGAAGTCAATGTTTGTCATACATATTACTGTATACTTGTTATTATTATTGATTTTAATTATTATAAACAAAATGAAAAATTATAGTTTATTGTAAACCAAAACAATTCACTGGGGAGAGGCTGTCGAGAGGCTGGTCACACAAAAACTCATTACAAGTCTAAATCATTTGAGGGGGTATTCACAGACAAAATCAATAAGTACATTTTATTTAATAAATGACAAACATTTAGCCGTAATTTTGTCTCTGTATACCACTCTTACAACGTCTTGATTACCCCCGAACTCCCTTTTTCTAATCAGAGTTAATATAATAATTTTTGGAAATGTTTTTATTGATTAAATTGATTGAATAAAACAAATCCCAAAAGACTTGGCTTACAATCAAATCAATTAAATTCTTACAAGAAAACATAATGTAATTACTTGTCAAATTTTTCAAATGTCCTGGCTAAGAATTTGCCACCAATTATTGTGTGCTTAAATGGTAACAGCTTTATTTTATGTGCATTTAGATGTAGAATATTCTGCTAATTCTGTATATTATTATCGATTTGTTATAAACAAACTATATCTTTTTTTGTTAAATATTATTAATTTGGACATAAATGTCACTATTAAATAGTATTTCTTATTTAATCTTAAGAATAGCGTTCAAATAAGATAAACATGTACTTATTTAACAATAAAAATTGTCTTTAGCCTAAAAGGTGTTTTAAAATATAATTATAATTATTAGATTTAATAGAGTCTATTTGTTTATAAATTCACTAATAGTTAACTATTTCAAAAAATTGTATTTTTTGACTGTAAATGCAGTTAAATGTATTTTTCAGATAATTAACAAATAAAGTGTAAACATTTAATTTTGAAAACAAATTGAACTTCTATTTCATAAACAATTTCAAATATTTTTAATTTTATTTGTATATTATAATACATAATTATAATTAATTGGAAATGGAAAATTGTTTGATATATAAATACTATTACTGCTGCAACTTGATACAAACCTATTGACATTTTGTATGTTTATGCAAAAAATATGGGTATCTTTTAGACTGGAGATATTTATAACAAAATACTGTATATAATTTATAAAATAAACCTGGACAGAGACCTAATTATCTAAAGAATGCAGCCCAACGTGGAGGTAGTGGTAACACTAGATTGGCTTAGATTTCAATCATAAGTTAACTCGCAATTGTGTGCAATTTAAATATTTGTCAAATTGCACTATACTTTCAGTCATTACCGTATTGAACACATTATTTCAATATTTGTTACCATCTCTAAGCCCTGATGAAGATCTCAGTGTAGATCGAAAACGTTCGGCTAATCTGTTATTTTTTGATACTTTTCACTCATTAATAAAATAAGTTATTGAAACAAAACATTAATTAAAAACTACACTTTGAACATCAATTATCGCTTTAAAATTTAAATTAATATGTTACTTTATTAGTGATTAAAATTTAAGTTTTTTAAATAACAATTTCTTAACAATTATTATAACAAAATTTACATAACTTTTGCTATATATTTGAATCTTTAAGATAATCACATTTAAACATTAAAATCGTGTGAAATATATAGAATTTATACATTGGATTCGTAAATATTTGCAGTATAAGTAAAGTAAAAGTATTTTAATAGTATTACCGTATAATTAAAATATTTATTTTAAATGATTGAAACAATTGCAATGATTTGCATTTAATAGTGTTGGGTCTGAAAATCAGTCCAAAAAAGTCTCAAAAAAGATGAGTTCATAATAAATAAAATAAATAAAAAACATGAAATATATTCACAAAAATGCAATCCATTTGTAAATTTATTTCAAATATTAATATTAATAATAAAATCCTTAAATAATGTAAAAATAAAAAGTGACCTCAAATGCAGTCAATACTGTTGGATCGCATGACATTCTTATAGCAGTGCCGGCATACGGGAACCGGGCGCTTGTGGTAGTGGCCGGGCAGTGGTATGCGTTTGTCGATACAGCGGATGCAAAACATTTGGCCGCACGTGTGACAATGGAGTTTGGGGGCAAAGGGCTCGAATGGTGTGGCACACGGACACTCCTTCGTACTGTGCAGAGATTGCCACTCCAGGCCCACAGACTCCAGGGTCACCATCAGATCAGACACAGCACCCGACGTGTCCTCCTGTAGTGACATAAGAGAGACAGACAGACAGAGAGGGAGTTTCGATTAGAAGTGGTTCACAAACAGTGAATATAATGAACAATAGGTTGCGGCCATACGTTGAGTCTAAGGTCAGCCAATGGGTCGGTCAGGGATGCCTCCATTGCTTTGCATTTTTCCAGTCGATGGATACTCTCTGCGACTAATTTGAGTGGAGAATCGATTTCATCCAAATCGAGAGAACCGATAAAATTGGAGTTTCCGTTGGATTGAGTGGCGGCGCTCTTATAGAGATCAGACGCGCTCATCAGTGGGTCCGGCGATACACACGAGTTGTGGTGATCACCCGACGCGCTCGTTATCATCGATATTTGCTGTCAAATGATATGCAAACAATAAAAATGAGGAATTCATATAAAAATCGTGTCAAATAGAAACCTCTTCTAAATACTGGATGTGATTCTCGAGACTAGAGATATGGTTGTGTGCGGCCACCAGTACTTCGGTCAATGAGTGTCTCGGATGGACACCAAACTCGAACCGGTTGTATAGCCCTCTCCAGAATCTAGACATTAATTTAAGGTTACGTCCAAATAAACAGTTTAGTATCGTTTGATCTAATACTTGATGGTTTGAGGCGAAACATTGACGTCCAGAATATGTTGAGTACTTTCGGGAACGTATAGGGGGTTCAGGAACTCTGCCCTATGGCTGCCAATATATGCCCACAGACTATACGTGCGCTCTGTAACTCTGTAACACAACAAATCAAATTCACGTAAACAATTGAATTCAAATTGTAAGACATTTGATGTATGATAACAACATTTATTAAGCAATGGTATGACATGCCTCAGATCCCGGCGCTCTTTGTCGGAATTGGCAATAAAAGTGCCGAACTGACAGCTGTGGACGTGATCGTGGATTGTCAAGAGGTAGCGCTCATTGAACTCCCAGTGCTGTGGGAACTGTTGGGCCAATTGCCAGGTTGCGTCCAGGAATTGGGTGAACACCGGAGCCATCTCCTTACTATCGCCCTGTATGTGACCGCACCGGTCGCTAAACTTGTGTCCAAAAGATAGCCACTCCTTCTCGATGAGTGCCTGAAAGCCATCGATAGTCCTGTAGTACGGCTCCAGTATTAGAGACGCGATTCCTATCAATTGAATGAATGAAATGATCCAAACATTTAAATTATAATCAAATCTGTGGCTAAATCTCATGCTAAGACTGACCACATGTCTGTGCGGTTCTGTCCCATCCGTCCGAACAGTGGACAACAACACTGATGCCATCGTTGACCGCTTTAGCGATGAACGCCGACGTCTCCAACACTGACTTCACGTGACGTAACCAACCGCTCCCCTCAATGCCAGATAGGAAGGCGTTCATCGACGGCACCTTCAGCTCACAGGCTATGCAGTCAATAGAAACCCATTAGAAAACACTAACATTCCGTTGTCCTGCAATTCAGTGGTCAACACACATACCGTCCATCAGTTTCTGTAGACTACCTCTCATGACATGTATGTTCTCAATGCCGAAAAAATGAAACTTTGTCTTCTCGTAGAAGTACTCGTTCTCATAGCCTTTCCCCTGAGCTTTGTTCACCATTGCATTAATCTATGGGAACGAGACATCAGCTATTATAAGGTCTAATAGAAATATCGTAATCAAGTGAATGCCTACCATTGGTCTCGTGTCCACAACATATAACACGTTTGATTTGGGGTTGGCTTTCAATATACAGTTAAATAGTTGTTCGTCTTCTACACAACGGGCACTGAATCCCGACAATGGCTGTGCGCACCGGCATATTGTCGCCTGGATTTCATATAGGGGTCATAATTTAGCTCATTTATAATGTACATACAGTGGCATGACACCAATTTCTTAAAATATAATTTATTAATTACGCCATTCTTATGAAGATATGTGAGGACAGGTAGGCGTCCTTTGGACCTAAAGTTAGCACTGCCTAACAATACTTGTTTGGTGGCAGTGGACGGGCAGTATAGAGTGCGCGGATATGTATCGCAAATCTAAATTTAAAATGGTGTTCAAAAGTTATACTGTATTTAACAAATGGGTGACAATTAGAAATAAAGACCTCGTAATTGGTATTAATGGTGGTTTGGGTCCAGTGCTGATTGGGAAGACCCATGCGCTGGAACTCGGAATCGTAGGCGTATTGATGCCAACCGTCCTCTTTGTCGAAGTGCTCATTACTGGCCGTATAGTTGAAACAATACAAGTCCTCGATGTTGGCTATCATTGCAAACGAGTGTTCAGTCAATGCATGCAATCATTTGATGTGACATTTAATTACTCGGTTGTGACAACTGGTAGATGGAAAGGTAGATATCGTGGGCATCCCTTTCCTTGGGTATGATGAATGTGACGCACAGGAAGTGTTTGCATCGCATGAGAAGTGGGGAACCGGTGGTCGTGATGGACAGCTTCTCGATGGATGAGATGAGAGTGTGAAGGATCCAGTTCTCCCTCTTCACCACGTGGTCCACGAATATCAGGTGAGTGGCCGTCAGGTATAGAGTGCCCGACGGGTCACCCGCACCACTCGTGCCTCCAGACTGAGCCGGGTATCGGTACAACATTCGCACGTTCTCTACCTGTCCGGTCATATCAATGACAGTGCATTAGTGGACATACATTAGTGGATAGTTATTACAGTTAGCGTACAATTGGTAACTATCACCGGAACAGTTAGGTTTAGGTTAACAGTAATAAGCAACTTAATTTAGCTAGCTTAAATGCCATATTTGAGGACTATATACTGTATATGGCTGTATACTATATACTGTATATGGCTGTATACTATATACTGTATAATGAACAGCAAAGTGATCCCGATCACCATCATAATGATGGTGATATGGTCTCATAAAACACACCAATTGGTGGATCAATGTGTGGCACATACCTTAGGCGTACGGATCAACTCCATTGCAATCACTGCCACTCACTCCTTGTATGAACAAATGGTCACTAATTAATACAAACAATGCTATCAAATGTGGACTACAATAATGTTGGACGCAATGGTGCTCTCAATTGCAAGTCATTTACACATAAATCTTATAATTAAAACTAAAAGCAATTATCAAATGATTTGATTGTTTGATAGCATAATATTATTATGACAACAAATCCAAGCACTTAATCGCCTCCACGAGTCACGTGACCAACACTTACACAACTGTCCTCAAGTGAATCCCCTGCTAATGCTTACTATCATTATCTCTTGTATAAGTGTGCTGGGTGTATTATGTGCATTAATATAATTACTCCGATACAGATAGTGAGCTATATTTCGTGATATGTAAGTAATGATTAGTAAATTATGTATAACTTGTAGTGATGTATGTGTTAATGGGTTTGACTGTACTATTGGGTTCAGGTATTGTTGCTATGAAACCACCTGTTTGTACGCCACATACATATAATACGTGTACTTTTATTGGACGACTAATTGTACGACTTTACGACACTCTATCAGATAGACTCTTTCATACAGTACTGTACAGTATATGATATGATAGGTCTAGTCGATTGTAATTTCACTGGTAGTCTACTAAATTTATTAATAATGATAGACTATTTATACTGTACTAGTGTCAATAAGCAATTACAATTAAGCATTTAATGTTATCAAAATAATTTTAGGTTATTATATTCTTTAAATAGCTATGACCATGATCAATCAAACAGTTTGAGCTATTTGTGGTCAAATTGTTGATAGCAATAATTCATAAAAATAAACACTTTTGTATGAAAACCACAATGATGAATGTTATTAATAAAGTTGCTTTTATAACCCTTTACTCAATGAATTTCTAAAATTACTAAAATTGTATTATATTTTATATTTTGAAACGTGAGTTAAGACAACGACAAAAGTTGTTTACCGGTATTTACAAAAACAATTGTTAAGTTATTTAACGCCAAAAATAGTTTGACTTTCAATTTATTAAGTTTTAGTAACTTTTATGTTATTTCATACATATTTTTAAATACGCTATGAATTTAAAAATTTAAAAGCAAATTCATTATAATTTGTTAGATAAGTAACCGAGAAATTTAACCACAGATTACACGAGTTATCTAATCGTTTATAAGTGTATAAGCAATATATTCTCGTTGATCATAAGAAAGTTTAAAAATATTTATTTTAAATTAGTTACTATTATTATGTGAAATATTATTTTAAATTGTATATAACAAAAATGTTTTCAAATCTTTTAAAAGTCTAACTAATAGTTGGTGTTAAGGGCAATAATTATAAAATTGTATCTAAAGTATTTTTATTTTGTGTTTTATGTATTCTTTTGTTAAACACATTACTGTTTAATAAATGACTGTTAACATTAGATTCTTTGTTAATAATTATAATAATGTTGACAAAAAATATGACAATTTGTATTCATTTACTTATATTGTGCTCTTGTATTACTGTAAGTGTTTGTCGAGCAAACGGATTCAAATCAAATGATTCGCCGACTGTTAGCACAGAATATTCCGGCGACTATTCATATGTAACCACTGGAGACACAATTGCACATAAGACAGACAGTCCGGAACGGGATGTGGATGAAGAGGACGATGACTATTATGATGATTATGATAGCAATAATAATAGTAGTTATTCTTCGCATCAATCTGAAAGCAATTGTGAAAACACTAATAATAAGATTTTCAGTAAATTACTTGAGATTCACAGTGAGAACCGAGACTTAGTTATTGCCAAAAATGTGAACAATTTAAACAAAACGCTTACTATTATAAACAGATTATCTAAGCTTGTGTCCGATTTATCAAAAGATATATTTACAAACAATGAGCTGGCACAATTAATGGAAATATTTTTTAGCATTGATATTCCAACCGATTGTTTGGTATCATTAATAGAAGTGGCAAATGGTATTAAACGCGAGGAGTTATGGGCCGTTAAGTGTTAGTCCATTAAGAGATTATTACATTAATTATTATTCCCAACACCCGTGACTTAAATCTTAATAATATTAATGTTATAAAACAAATCTATATTTCAATCATATTATCTATTCAATGAGTAATTTTTAACAATAATTATCATTTATAAAATTAAAATGTTTTATATAAAATTTCATGTCCTAAATGAAAATTTATCAATTAATCTTGAGAATCCCTAAAAATAAATTATAAATATAAATATTTTACATCAGTTATCGATTCGATGGGACGCATACCGACGGGAATAATGGAGGGCACGGTATCGCATTTTGGCGAGTTTGATGAGTGTCTGGGCATAGAAAGTCCAGTTAGCCAGGACATGCAACCACCACCAACACCTATTAGAGGTCAATATTGTTTGGCCAAAATAATACTGCCCTACCCTAAAAAGAGACCTCTTAATAAGAGAGCCAACAGGAATATCGCTAATAAGATATATTTTGACAAATTGGTGGCATTCCTCAAGAATTATAATATGGATCAGTATTTAACAGTTTTCAAACTCATCGAAATTCTCAACAATCAAAAGGGCGCTACATTCAGGTTCGGCACTTGTATGCCATCCACGTGCCGACCCCATGACATTGAGAATATAATTAATAAAAGTATTTGATATTTATTTAATTATTTGTAAAGTTTTAAATTATAATAATCGTCTGATTCTAGTTGTATATCCGATTACACATATGCCCATTGAGTTGATGCCCGACTGTTATGTGAAATATGGGGACAGGAATCTGGATAACCATCAGAAAGTATCGTTGTATGTCACATATATTTGTTGATTGCTTATATTTAATATCATACAGTATTTTATATGATTGACTACTTATTTTGTTTCAGGGCAATTTTTGCAATAATAATATTAGTGTCGATAGCGTGTAATATAATGGAAGTGATGTGTAAATGCTTTAAGTCTATTGGCGATAAGAAATTGAAAAAGTCTCTTAACACTAATGTTATGACTATTAATAAAATAAAGAATTTAGATAACAATAACAATAGTAATAATAACCCGACAACTAATGGACAGCCAAGTGGTACACCGAGGAGATCGCTGTTTGAGAAGATAGTGTCATGTTTTTCGTTGAGCTCTAATATAAGGCGACTGTTTGCAGATACCGGCGCTAAACGGTTTGTGTGTATCGATGCCATCAGATTCTTGTTGATCATCAACGTATGCGTGGATCACATGTATTTGTTCACACCATTCATGAGCACCATTGCCTTCAGACGTATACTCAACTCCGTTATAACGAAAGTCTATTATTATAATAAATACTTTTTTGCCAGAAATATACTTATTATTGATACAATGTTTATTATAAGGTTTGTATTATATTAACCTAACGACAGAATTAATGTTGAAATATCGTATTGAGATGATTGTGTTATACATATTTGTAATTGTAATTGTCTTTATTTATTATTTTAGCGGACTGTTGGTCTCATATGGCTTATATGGAAGGCTACTAAAAACAAATGGAAAATTTAATTATATAACTTATTTATTAAGACTATGGCTCAAATATTCCGTTCCCATGTTTATCGTATTGCTATTATTCTGGTTAATGCCACTTATAGGTGACGGTCCCATTTGGAACTACGGCATCAACTTGATTATGCCCTCTTGTAAAGACAACTATAGTCTATTATCCAGTTTCTTTTATTTTAGTAATTATCGCATTCAATCCGATCACAATGTCTTTGATTTTGGACCCGGATTTGCAATCGTGAGACATTTTACTATATTTATTTCAGTATTTAATTTTTTACTGTAAGGTTCAAATAATAAATGATTGTAGACTGACAAACTAGACATAGAATTAAACTATAATGATATCTAATATTTTTGTCTGATGTGTACCCCCTGTCCAGTGCAACCCTCCCACGTGGTTCTTGTCAGCCCTATTCCAGCTACAAGTGATCGCACCGTTTATTGTGCTAATGCTATATAAATCGCCCAAATTTGGTATCAGTTTAACGATTACTATAATAATGTTGGGCTGTTATGCGAGTATATTCCCGAAGCACGTGTTCGGCCAAAAGACTTATTTGGATCCTTTGGGCATCAGTTCCCTCGAAGAGATGACCAAAGCCTTTGTGGCCTTTCATATGGGAGTCAATCAGTATATCATTTCATTCTTCATTGGAATACTAATCGGATATCTGGTCCGAGAGAATGACATCAACTATAAGTGTATGTCCAAGAAATGGGAGGCCTTGCTATGGGTGCTGTCATTTGGCACAATCATATACGTGATGTATTGGTACATGACTTTACACACTCTTAACCGGTCGCCCCCTAAATCCAGTGTCTTATTGTGGTTCTCTTTCGGCAAACTATTTGCTTGTATTGCCATTTCATGGATTCTGTTCTCATTGTGCATCGGTAGGGCCGGTATGTATAGTTGTACACATACTGTACATTAAATAGTAATGTTTCCAACTAGTTTTATGGCTTTTCGGTGTGTCCATGTTTGATTCGCAATTTATTTGTTTTTTTTTGTTATCAATTATAGCGTTTTTAGAAAAAGTGTTTTCGTGGTATGGCTTTCAGGTGGTGTCGCGCCTGTCGTTTGGTATTTATATATTACATTTCCTTCCCCTCTCTTACAGACTATTCTCTGTGAGAGACACTTACGTAATGACAGATAAATTGCTGGTAATTATTAACAATTACTGTTTTAATGGCCACTATGTTATAATAAAATACTATAATAGTATACTTTGTGTTATTTTAATGATTAGATTGAATACATCACAATTGACTTCATAATATCGGCGTTCATTGCATTCCTGTTTTACATACTCATTGAACGACCCTTTAATAATATAATAACTTTATTATTTGACCGCAAATCAGATGAAGAGACGTTCTTCGGCACTGAGAAAGTACTTAATAATAGACACATTTTGCCACAAATCAATGTATTCACCGCTAATTGTCATGAGATTTACAATAACAAGCTATGATTTATTATATATTTAATACATTTAGCAGGGAATAATACTTTATATTAGACATATTTATACCAATAAATACTTTCAACTCTCTGAAAACAATTTAAACCTAAAATTTATAAATCAGTATTGATTTCTATTACAGAATTTATGAGGTTTTCTTACTCAAAAATTTAGTCAATAGACTACCAGTATTGGTATAAATTTAAATGTATCTCATATAAATACATTATTTTTTAACAGTTTACCGTAATAGAATTTGTATTAGTAACTATTAATACAGTATTACACTAATTTCTATCATAATTTTCTTTTGCATATAAACCTGAAATTTATTTATACTTTAAACTTTATACTTTACTGTATGTTCAATTCAATTGAATTCAATTTTATTTAGAGAGTAATGTTGTCATCTAATAACAGATGATATTCTTAACAATACTCTAAAATGTTTTATATTATGTCATATTTTAGATGTATTAAAATAACATATCATGATTTTGATAAAAGAGTTAAATAAATATTTTACCGGTATTTGAAAAATTGAAATTCTCGACGGTTTATAATTTGCGATAAATTAATAAAAATTCTGTATATTTATTTGTAAATTTTAAGCTACAAATAACGACATAAAATTAACATTAAACGGAAAATTTGAAATTTATTTTATTTGGACAATGAAATATTACAATTAATAAGCATTAATAGTATAGTTGAAAACAAATTGTTTAAAATTACTTTAGAGGTATTTTTAATTTTCAATGAATATATGGCAATAAAGCAAAAGGAATTTTGTAATAAAATATAGACAAACAAATGTGAATTATCTGTACTTATTATACAAGTGTTGGTGCTTTGGTTTATGGGTCTTGTACTCGACGGGTCCCTCCCATACCATATCTGTCTTATATCCGGTCTGAAGCGGCAAATATAGGCCTCGCTCGCAATCGCGCTGTCCATCCAATCTCATTGTCCTCATCTTCAGATCAATCAACACATCTCTGGCGTTATTATTGGGTGCGATCTTCGCCTTCCGGATATACCAACCGTCCGCGTAATCCGGGTATATAAAGGTGTTGTCGTTGTAGTAGTGGTTGGGACGGGTCACCGATATGTCAGTTGCCATTCCTGTGCGCAAACAGATTATCATATTTTCGTACAGCACTATGAAATACGCAAATTTAATAATTTACATGTAAATAGATAACTATCATTTATAGACAGATTAATATATAAAATATTTTAAAATCTATTTTATTTGTCTATTATATTCTCAAAATTCTAGTTTAATTAAGTATTCTAATATGGCTAACAAAATATGATAACTAATAAATACATATAAACAAGTATAAATTCCAAAAATAAGTTTAGTGGATTAAAAATTCTGATTTATTAAATATAAAATAACTTACTTTTGAGTTTTGAATGTGAAGTGATATACAAAATGTAATGAAGGGATGAGTTCTTGAAATTTGTTATAAAACTGTTTTCAAGAGTAATGACGAAGTTTGACAACACTTTTATACCAGTTTATGGATATATATGTTGATGAATATTTGGTGTTTGTCTCATATTTTTGTAAGTCATTTGTGACGTTAATATATTCATTAGCAGAGGAAAGGGAGGTTGAGATGCAGTGGGAGAGAAAGGACATTCACTAACACTCAAAGTATTGCAGTGAATGCTATTTAAAGACCAAATTCTCGTTCAAACTCATTATCATTGACTCAAATTCTGTTTAAAATAAATGCAAACAATCCTCTCATTTGGCATCAATTCAATTATAAGACTTTGGGTGTGAAATGAGTTTCATTTATCTTAAAGTAAATTTAAAAGATTATCGTATGTTTGTCATCAATGATCTCAGTATTAATAGATTAAAAACAAAACGTGTTGTATTTATAAAACAAGAATACAATGCACTTAATCATCAAGAATTCACATTATATTATAATTGTTAACATTATATTATACAGTACTTATACTCTTATAAGAGTTTATAATTATTTTAATTAAATAATCACAATTTTTTGTTTGTAACATGTGCTGTATTATTTTTTAATTGACGAATGCATAATATTATTTTGAAATTATTAACATTTAATAAGTCACATAATTAAAATGATTGCTAAGAAACCAATTTAAAATCCATACCTAAAACATGTCTATGATAACAGAAAAGAGCTGTTTATATTTCAATTATGAAATATTTATATCTTTTAATATTATTCATTATATATAACGAATGTATTTTGTAAATTAAAGAGTATTGAAAATTTAACCGACCATGAGCTTACAGTTTATGATGAATACAATAAACAAATTTACAGAAATTACTCAAAAACAGTGAAACTTAATCATAGAAATGTTAGCCGGGATGAGGAGACGGATGATTCGGATCGGATATTGCAGGCGTTCGTCGAGGGGGACAAGACTAACACCATCCTCAAGGGTGCACTGGCCAAGGTGCCCATCAGTACAGTTAGTATGTATTCATACCTATTCATACACTCATCCCATTCCTTTTCATACCCGGTTCATCAATTGTTTACCTATTGATCATTTACAAAACATTTATATTTTCGCATTTGCATAACTTAATATACAGTATTTGCAATATCATGTAAATTGTTTTGAAAACTACTAAAAGCTTTTATTCTAAAAATTATATGACTATAGCAATAGTTTTACAGTATCATTATAATATTATACTATTTTATCAAATAACTTTATATCGGTTCTTAGTGAATGATTCATATTTGATATAGAAATGTATTTATAAAACTAATGCCTTTAATATGCAACAACAGGCAAATTGGGCAAAACGTGTTTCAAGGATATCGGCTGCTATTCTGGTGTGAAATTCAAAGAGGTTGGAAAGGGTTTCAATCATCTGCCGCTATCACCACAAAAAATAAACCCGGTCTTTTTTCTCTATACACTCAACAACACCAGAAAGGGCAGAATTTTGCGTTACAACCCTAAGAAGAAAGACATGGAAGGGACGGGATTTGACCCCCGATTCCCCACCTTTATTTTACCCATGGGTTTCTTAGTGACGTAGAAAAGTGGATGCTGGTATGTGCTTGATAAATATTAGTATTTTGAATGTAAAATTCGGCTTAAATTATATCAAAGAGCTAAATTTGATATAAATTATATAATATAGTGACAGCTTTTGAATAATTAAAATGTGAGGACATCTAGTATTTGTTAAACTAAAATTGTAAATACTTATCATCCGATTAATTAGTAATGTGCGACCAAATGATCAAGATCAAACTTTGATTTTTTCAGGATATGAAAGATCTATTGTTCAGTCAGTTCTACGACGAGTACAACGTGGTGTTGGTGGCGTGGGGTTATGGTGCCAAGATCAGTTCGTACTACTTGGCCGCCGCCAACACTCAAGTGATGGGCGGTTTGGTCGCCTTCTTCATCAACCGGTTGTGCGATATATACCACATAAAGAACGACATGTTTTATTTGGTGGGTCACAGTCTGGGCGCCCAAGTGATGGGTCAGGCGGGTCGGCGACTTTACAACCCACAGGTGGCCCGCATCACAGGCCTGGACCCGGCCGGCCCCGGATTTCAGGACAACTCCAATTATTTGGCACAAAAGTCGTAGCATTCATTACAAATAGTAATTTATAACAAAAAATTGTAGTAGATGTAATCTTTTATCAGAACAATGTGTTCAATATGAATGATTCAATAATATTGGTTTAAATCAAATTTAAATCAATTTATCATTATTTTTCAAATCTTTAATTTATAATTTATTCATTTTATTTATAATTCATTATTTATTAATAATTCATATACTTATAGAGAAATATTAAAATTAAGTATTTTATTTAAAAATAATTTTTATTTGGGGTACATTTGAAGTAAATGTTGGGAAACTCTATAATTTAGTAATAATTTGTTTGTAATCCATAAGATAGCAAAAGACCGATACATTTATATAGAGGGAGCGGTTCCCGCATCCACTTCAGCCTCTGTTTGTTCTGTCGGTGGTTGGGTTGCAAACCCGTCGGCTGGTTGTTGGGCCGATGGAGGGGCGCCTTCAGTAGAGGGCTGGTGCTCCTCCTTTTTGACGGGTTCAGGTTCAGTCTCTGTGATGGGCGGAGGTGTCCAGGGAATGTCCACTGTAGTGCCCTCCATGTTGTTTAGGTCCACCCTATCCTCATAAGCTTCCGAACAGTCATAATCAATGCCAACTGCCATAGGATGGGAACAAATATATAAATTGATTTAAATTATGTTTGTATAATAGTATCAGTGTAAAATTGTTATGAAAATATAATAGTGTACATTCATTTGTGCAAATCCGTTTGCACCGTACCACCAGTATGTTTATCACAGCCACTATTAGTATGATATAAAATTTCATTTTATTTATTTTACAATTACTTAATGTTTTATATTTTATAAATGTAATCTATTTTAAATTTTGATAAATGTGGATAAAACTTATGACCGATTTTAGAAAAAATTATAAAATTATTATAAACTCTTATTTGCAACCCTTACTGTATGGCACACGTGATTATAAAATTAGCTATACTTTAGTGATTCACTATAATAAATAAGCAAATGATGAATATTCTTAAATAGGTATCACTTGAAATAAAATAATGGTTAATAGCCTGGTCATTATGAGTGTAAATGTAGAATCATATGACACAAGAACAACATTTCTAACTAGCTTACACATACGGGTGCTCTGACTGTAACTCAAATTTGATTATTAATTAAATATGTCGTCAAAAATCCGACTCAAACTGAAATGAAATTAGTTGTGTTTTTATACCTCTATTTGTTCATAAGTATAGTATGTGTCGTGCGAGATGTCGGGTGCCGTCGTCGCCGGACAACCACTACAGAAGCTGATGGAGAGGACGACACGACTACCACCACCGAAAAGGTGGACCACAAACGGAAAGACAGTAAGAGCGACGACACCTCCTCCACCACCACTACCACTGAAGACGACGACAAAACTAGCGGTTCGGGCGATGAGACTACGGAAGCGACCACTAAGTCGGACACGAGTAAGTCCGATGAGGACGGCGACAGCACCACAATCGACACCACTATTACCACTACTAAGCCATTCGTCAAGAATGAGACGATCGAGAAGATGGCAAAAGACATAGAAAGCGGAAAGTTCTCGATGTCGGACACCATCTCCAAAGGGTTTAGTAAAATTAAGAGTATGTCCACAACACCCACTATAGTCCACAAATGTCTCATTTTAAACTTGCAATAACACAGAAAAATACAGCTTATAAATTGTTTTATACATTATTCTGGCACTAAATTCTTATGCTTACTCTAATGCCAATCTAAATTCTTATGACATATAAGTTATTGCTTTTTAAATAATCAAATAAGAATAAGCTTCAAGCTTTATTGTTGCAAATTACTGTAATTGTAATTATTAGTTTAGTATTTTAATGTTTAATTACTTTGTATCAAATCAAAATGATAATACAATATAATTTAATAATAATTAATTTTATTAGCTATTTATTATTATTTGACATAAAATGATGCAATGCTTGATTCTTGTAATGACAGGTATGATCACTGGAGCAGTTCCCGAGGGTTTGAAGAATGCGGCCTTTTATAAGAATTACAACAAATTCGTGCAATCGATGTATTCAAAGATATTTCAAGTGGCAGACTATAAGGAGAAGTCAGAGAACAGTAAGGAAGGCAAGAAAGGCGTCCAAACAAATCAGACAAAACCACACAAACAGTCGGACCAACAAAGCAACTTTTGGGTTACCGTTCCTCTCCTTAAAAGTAATCATCACTTCCACTGATTATTCTTTTCTATGTTTACACATATCCTTGTCAATTATACATCATTTTATTATATTTTATTTTATTTTATTTTATTATATACTGTATATCTTCGAGGCCAATCCGAGAAGTGTATTAGAAAGAGCTTTAATCTTAATCTTCTAATATTGCTTCAAACTTTACATGTAAGTCATATAACTTATCGGATACTTCTCGGATTGGCCTCTCAGATATACTGTACATGTACTATATCTAGTTAGTAGTTTTTATTTTATGTAATTAATTTTGATTATAATTAAAGGTTAAATTAGTTTATTAAGTAATTTTACCAATATCATACAATTGTATCGTATCTCTAAAATTATTATTATTCTAAATAATGTTTTATTTACGAAATTAAATTTACAGACATATTGGGAAAGACGTGTTTTGACGATATCGGGTGTTTCGCAGCCATGGAGTATCAAGACTTTACGCGCCGTCCGATACCACTGTTGCCAATGGCGCCTGAATTTATCCAGACCACATTTCACATATTCACGCCCGATAATACTCTAAAACCAGAAAATTTCAGTTATAATGCCACCGAAAAGGTTCTCAAAAAGTCATCATTTAATCCCAGTTTGAAGACAGCGATCATTGTTCATGGGTTTCGAAGTGCTTTTGAGCCCTGGATGGTGGTATGTATCACATCATTGCATACTATTATTATTCATATCATAATTAAATTCATATGACATTTCCTCAACTTATATTGTATTTGTTTCATTTTATAGGAAATTAAAGATTTTATTTTCAAACAAAGTTCAGATTATAATGTAATCGTGGTGGTTTGGGAAAAGGGTAGGCTGTTAATACAGAAATTGGATTATATAACTGTTAATGGAAATGTTTGGTGACCTACAGGTGCGATGGTTCCGTTGTACCATTTGGCGGCAACTAATACTAGAGTAGTCGGCGCTTTGATTGCCTTTTTCATCACTACATTAAACAAAGCATTCAATACAAAGAATGATCAGTTTTGGCTCATAGGACATAGTCTGGGCGGACAGACAGTGGGATACGCCGGCAAACGGCTCAATGACCCGCAAGTGTTCAGGATTACTGGCTTAGATCCGGCCGGTATGTCATACTATGTACTCATTCACATACGAATCAATTATGTATGATATATGAATTTAGTTTATATGATAATTATTGCCTCTAATTATATTGTGGTAAATATAATGAATTAAATGTAATAATAAATAGGACCTGGCTTTCATTTCGAGAACGCGACGATGCATTTGGATAAGAGTGACGCCTCCTTTGTGGACGTGTGGCACACAGACAACGCTGAGTCCTTCCAGGAGGGGATGGGAAGTCACACCAAGCGCGGGGTCTATGATTTCTTCCCAAACGGCGGTATAACTATTATGAATGATTAGGAAATGAATTGTAATGGATTGCTGTGTGTGTTGTGTATGTGGTTAGGACTGATGCAACCCGGATGCAAGACATCGCGAGGCATCGCTCACATCATACACTCCATATCGTCGGGCGAAGAGCTGTCGTGTTCTCACACGAGAGGAAATATATTTCCATTGAGTTTAGGTATTTGGTGTTTAGCCATCAATTGATGTTTAAATGTTGGTTCAATTGTCACTAAAACAATGTGTCATTTTAGGCAATAATAACACCGAATGTATGCCAATCGCATACGAGTGCTTGAACTACGAGACTTTCATAGAGGGCCGATGCACACAGTGCACCGATTTCAAGTGCCAACCAATGGGACTTCAGTTTGATTTCTATAATAATCATTTCACGGCTGACCCAAAAACAGTGAATTATAAATACTGGATACAAACGGCAGTCAAACCAGAATTTTGTGGTAATTTTAAAATTATACTTTTATTGAAAACTTCTACAATAGTAGTGACAAATATTTGAGTAAACAGTTTTTCACTATCAATTTGGATTACATATTCACGAGGAATCGGATCCCTCGGCAGGTATTTACACATTTATAGTATTTTGTTTATATAAATACATTACCATCTACTACTGATACTCACAATATATTACTAAACTTAATGATTATTACATTATATGGACTGTTAATCGATTGAATGAAAGGTGTGATGGAAGTAACGGTAAAATGCAAAGTGAATGGCACCGAAAAGAGTTTGTTATTTGAAAGATACATAACTGGGACACAAATCGGCGAAATTCACTCATTTCTCATAACATTTGAGTTCAAGATTGT